AAATTTTATTGATGTTTGTTAGCATGGAATATATTGTACAAACAAAAATAGATGCTTTCCCTTGGATTTATAATACAGTTTTTAAATTTTTGAGCTATAAAATTAATTGGTACATAAAAATACTAGCAAGGTGTGTGTTGGAGCTCCTTTTCATGTGTGCTTTTAAAAGTTACTTGTTCCCTGAAGCTAAATTATGAAACATGTGAGTAGCTTTTGTTACTAGAAGCAGTTTTCATGAGCATCACCTCTGTAAGGCACCAGATAATGATAATCTTGGAAGTCTTTACATCTGGTCGTTTTATTTTAGCATACTCCCGAGTCACATTTCATCACTGAGTTCTTTGAGGGGATTGCATAGTATTGTGCATCAGTTGCCGTCACAACAGGTAAAGTGTGTAGCGGGTAGATCATGTCACTCACTCCTTGTAGAACAGTCATTGCTTCATGCAGAATTTTTCATGGAATTATCCTTTCCTATTTTCCTGGGCAAACATTCTCCTTAACATCTGATTAATTCTACTAACAGTTTAATGTATTCTGCTTTCATATGAATGGAGGATTTATGGTAAAACCGGTGGTTTTAGAAAAATCTTGCATAATCTAATAGCGCAGTTTTATGTTGGCAAATAATTGGTCTGAAGTATTTCATTAGTATTATAAGCCTGAGTTTACATTACTCATTTTGATAAGTTTTCCTGACTAACAACTAGACAGTAAAATATTTATAAAGAATGTAAAGTTAATGCCTTCTTAAGCATCTCTTAAATTTGAACTCCAGCAGTCTCTTCAAAGAAGCAAGTTACATGAATAACTAGTAAACATTGAGATAAAATGCGGAAATTTTGTTGCTTTTTGTGTTTCTAATCTGTGTGTAATGTTTCACTGTGCTGTTTTGACTATGTTCTTTGTTCTTAATGTCGCTCATTCATTTTCATGATCACGTTTTAGCCGTAAAATTCTAATTTTCTATGAAAAGTTTTTCCTGATTGTTTTTTCTTGCTGCCTAAATTTTCATTGTTAGTAGGCACATTTGTGAGAGGTCTTGCTACAAGTTATCTTGAGCGCTTACTGTCAGAAACCTTTGCTCCTTGCAAGATCACTGCATTCCTGAATGATGAGCCACAGGACTGGTTTGTGTCCCACCATTGTTTTCTGGGATTTTGAAAATAGGAGAGCTTGAAGTGGCCTTGCATAAACTTTCTAATTTGATTTTCCTCCCAAACTTATTTGTGGTAACCTCACTTGAGTTGACTGTACCTGGATCCCTATTTTAATGCATTCTCAACTCTCAGTTTCCTCTCCTCTGTTAATAACAGGTTTAGTTTAACATCTTTTTTGCTTATTTCTCCAGCTCTCACACATTAGGTGTAGCTGTTTATCTTCCACCTACATAAAGATATTTTTCTAAATGTTAAAATTAACAAAATGTCAAAGGTTTCTAGAGGGCTTTCTAACAGTTGGCAAATTCATTGTGAATAGTTTGGCAGTCTACCTCAGTATTGTTTGAAATACCTCTCAAAAGACGTTGCTTTTTGTAGTTATAGTAATTTTCCATCAGTACTTTATTTTTAGTATTAGAGTAGATGCTGTGATCTAAAGCCAGCTCTTATTTTACAAGATGACATTTTCCCTTTGATAATACTGAAAGTTACCTAAGAATAAATTTTGCTACTCATCTTTTGATGTTCATTGATACCACTGATAATATCACAATATCACTGATAGTGTGTAGAAACACATTCCATTACCTGGCTCACATTTACCCTGTAGGAATGCTGCATGAGTAAATGAATACTATTTTCAGTCTATTGATTGCCTTTGCAGCTAGATACTGGATTAATTTATATTGCAGCAGTGGATAAAGTTGGTATAAAAGTATCAACTTTTATATGATGATATGTCCTTTGGTTAACCCAAATGTAGTTCAAGATCTGATGTGGATTAAGTCCCTTTAAGTGAGTTTTCACTGATCCTGTATTGTAATGGGTGAACTTCTGGTAAACAGTAGTTTTTAGCTCTGTAAATACGGTCATATGAGGTTTTTGTGTGTTAAGGAGAAAGGTTTTCTATTTAGAGAATTAAAAACTCTGTGTTCTTAGGCAAATGGGGAGGTGTACTTTTTCCATAACAGAAAATGTTCATTCTCCTAATGGAAAATTAACACTATAGTCCCTGTTTTATAGTTTGTTTCTAGCTGAGATCTAGCTGGGCTAGAAATGGTGGTATATACAGCAGCAAATAAAACCCATGAGAATTGTGGCAGCAGTGTAGTTTGTCATAAGGAAGATACTAGTTTTTATCCAATATTTCCTTTACAGGAATATGTTTATTTGGTTTGAGACACCTTCCTATAGTGTGGCATCCAGCAGCATTTACCTTATAAAAGTGTGTTCATATAAATACGGCCACCCAGCAATAAATGTGTGTGATAAAGTGAAAGTTACTGTGCAAACTAGTACATGCTAGATTTGGAAGGACTGACTGTACGTGTGACCCTCACCAGTTTGTTTGTTATTAAGTTAAGCTATTTGCTGGTTTTATTTTTGAGTATCAGCATTGATGATGAATGGTTCTATTTTAGATTTAAGTACATTGTCTGTTTAAAGAGGATAGTATTTGGTAGATAGCACAAAAACAGCAGGAACAGCACAAGATGGTATGTCAAGCTTGAATCCTTTTCCTGTTTTGGTAATTTTCAGCCGTTACTTAAATGGTTGATATTCTTTATTCACTTTTACAGGCCCTAGATGGTCAAAATATTTATAATGCTTGCTGTACCCTAAGGATTGATTTTTCCAAACTTGTGAATTTGAATGTCAAATACAACAATGATAAAAGTAGGGATTATACGCGCCCTGATCTTCCCTCTGGAGATGGACAGCCTGCCCTAGACCCAGCTATCGCCGCAGCGTTCGCCAAGGAGACGTCCCTTCTAGGTATGATTCCCACTGTCTGTCCACTGTCTCCCATTTTGCTAAACGGGGAAGTGCCTGTTAAACTCCAGTAAGTATAACGAATCCTTTATTTCGGATCTTGACAAACTTTGTTAGGTTTTATGAGTTTTATTTTTCTCTGGTGAGAAGGGAGGCATATGAACGCTGTTAGGAGGAAGCCTCAAGTGTTGTTTGTAAGTGTAATTAAAGTTGCATTCACTGTGTTCCTTGCACCACCTCACCTTCTTTCTCAAACCACAAAACAAAAGAAGAAAAGCTAATGAGAAAACATTGCTGAGTTTATCACCAACACGAAGGCTTCAAATGTGGTATCACCCTTAGTGTCTACGACTTACCTAAGATACACATATTGTAGTAGGTATGTGGAATTTTTCAAAGCATATTATGCCCTATCACAAAATAAGCTAGAAAATTTTTCTATAAAATGTTTTGCTCTTCCTTTGAATTTTACCCTACAATGGATTTGAGCCACCTAATAAAAATACAGTATAAAATTAAGTTTCCAATAGTTGATAGAGTCAAGGAGAAGACAAAACTAAGGAAAAATACTATTTTGTAAGTAAAGTAAGCAAGTTGATTTGTAGGCTCAGGTGAAGTTTTATAGTGTCTATGTATTTAATGTGTTAGGGAAATTTTGTTTTTCTTGGCATTTGTACGGTTATCTTTAAATTGGAGTTCTATCCTTGTGGAATCCTAGTAGTGATGGGTGGCAAACTGGCTCTTGTAATCTATTTCATGTCCATCATTTAATAAAAGATAGTATATTAGGTGATTTGTGGAAATGTTTGTTTGTTTTGGATGTGTGATGGTCATTCTATCCATTCGTTAATATGTAATCAGTCTGACAAGGAATAAGAACACTTGATACTTATAGCTTTGATTTCCTCAGTTTGGCTTGCAAGTTAATAACATCAACTATTTCATAGGTACAATTTTTAAAGGCAAAGTCAAGATGGAGATAATAACGAATGACACATGGTCCTTGTTTTTAATTGCTACTATAGGTTATTAAACTCTTTACTGACTGAACTTGTATTTTTTCACAGAAGAAAAACGAATCAACATTTCCCCTTTACTGTTAGCTCTTAAGGCACTCTACTAGGCAGGTGGCGGGTATACTGTTGAATCCTTAAAACAGCCAAATACTCAGAATCCACCTGGATTCTTCTAGGGAATTCATCATTGCTTCCCTCTTGTTCTTCAGGCCTTAGTGAAATGTTTTAAGCAGTAAAATAAAATCTGTTAAATGAAAGGTCATGAGGCCCTAGCACAATTAATTTCTGCCTTTATGCTTTCATTCTTTTTCTTTCTTTCTTTTTTTTTTTTTTAATGTGTAACATTTTTGTTTTAAAAGCAACTTAGTTGCTCGGTTTTGTTTTTGTGGGTTGCTGTAGATTAAACATACTAGGCATTTGCTCTGCCACTGAGCTAAAACCCCCAACTCTTATTCAGTTCTTCATATTTTTATTTATTTACTTATTTTGGCAGTACCGGGGTTTGAACTCAAGTGTTCAACCATTTCAACAGTGCTCCCAGCCCAGCTCCTGCTCAGTTCTCAATAAATAAATGTGTCTGTTGCATTCTTCCAGCTCTGCACTGAACTTTTTTTTTTAAATTCGTGTATCCATATGTGCATACATTGTTTGGGCCATTTCTCCCACACCCCTGAACTTTTTAATATATGTTGCTCTTGCATTTCTGCCTGCTAAGACAGAAAAAGCATTCTTTGGTGAAAATGTGGTAAATTCACTTTATTTTTTTCCTAAATGACTTCATCTTTTATCTCTTTTAATGGTTTTGCATTTTGTTATAACTATTTTAAGCATTGTTGAATACTTTGAAAGTAGCTGAGTTGTAACTTTAAAAATATCAAGTAATAGAGTCTTTAGTTTGGATATTTATGAGAGATAACCACTAATTTTGATGGGTGTAATTTTATGTTTTATTGTAGTTATCATTTTGCATAGAACTCTTTTAGGTGAAAATGGTAATTTTAATACCTGCATATTATGCCAATAGACATGTCATATCTTTGAAAGTGGACATTTAGTCAATTTCATTTCTTAATTAAAACATCCTCTACATACAGTTTTGCCTCTCAGATTGTTTCCTTAGACTAGATTCCTAGACTAGAATTATCAAAATGTTTGTAGATTTCTTCCTAGAAAGATGGTGTATAAGGCTGGTTGATCTGCTCTTTCCCCTGTCAGTATGGAATATTACTTCTTAATTTTATGAGATATTAATTTGATGGGTCCGTTTTATTATGAGCTAGTTTGTAGTTAGCTTTTTAAATGCTTATTTGATATTTATAATGTGTGAATTGGCTGGCTGTATTCTTTCAATTGGGGTGCAACAGAATGGTTATAAAGATTTTTGTTCATAATTGGTATAAACTTGGCCTTCACCTTTATTCACTTATTTTAGAATGGCTAATTTTTAGAAAAATATTTTTAATTTCAATCAGAAGGATCTCATGTACAGGACATGAGGATAATTTTTTTCCCAGAACTTTGGTGCATATTAGTATGTTATGAAAAAACACTTAATGCTTTCCTTGTTGTATTTTTTTAAGACAGGGTCTTGCTGTGTAGCTCAGGCTGGCCTAAAACTCAAGGTAATAGCTCATGTGTCATCCTGTTGAGTGCTGAGATTATAGGTCTGTACCACTAACACCAGGCTTAACTCTTGGCTTTTGAAAGTTGTCTTCCAACACCCTTTATGGAGACATCCAGTATTGCATTTGTGAAGTCATGCCTTTAAGAATGATAGGTAAATTTTTTCTATATTTCTTTGCCTCTAATGATACTTAATTGGGTGACTTCAGAGTACAACCAAACTAGTATTAGTGGGATCCATTTTTTCATCAGTCTTTCTCAGATAGTACTTAAGAAATAACTGATTTTGTAAGAATCTGAATATAAAGTGATACCTCCTAAGTATGACAGGGTGGATTACTTTGCCTTGTATTTTTAAAAAATACCAGTCCCTTGACTGACTTTCATTGCTTTTTGCAGTCAATATTAGAGATTTTATTTATTTTAAACAGTAATTTTTAAAGGTTATTATTTGTACCTGTTTTATCTGCTGCTTTAATTCTAGGGATCACGGTGTCTCAGAAAATGTAATTTATTCACAGAAGAAAGACAAAGTACTTTGTAATTAGTTAAAAATCTGACATCTAAATGCATAATCGCAAACCTGGCAGACTATTAGTCACTCACATACTCTTATTTCAAAGTACAAGGTGGCCAAAAATCCTCGAGATTATAAATTGAGACATTGTTACAGTGATCATTTTGTCGTGTTAAAAAGTGCAGTTAATTTATTAAGGGGTGGATCACTTTGCTAGGAATAATTTTTTCATGATCATGTTGTCTGTTTTTAAAAACTTTGGACAGATAATGCATTAAAAGAATACTTTAGAATTTTCTATTTTAAGTTAAAGTAATAGTTATTGCCATCATATAGTCTTAGCAAACTTTTTTTTTTTTTTTTCTCGGTACTGGGGCTTGAACCTAGGGCCTACACCTTGAGCCACTCCACCAGCCCTTTTTTATGTCGAGTATTTTTGAGGCAGGGTCTTGTGAACTATTTGCCTGGACTGGCTTCGAACCACAATCTTCCTCATCTCTGCCTCCTGAGAAGCTAGGATTACAGACGTGAGCCCAGCAAAGCAAATGTTTTATAGGCAATCAGTTCTTAAAATACTGATTGTTGTAAAGAGATGGAGCACACAATTTCCATGAAGGTCAGTGTGTACCCCTGACAGATAGTGTTTTTTCACACTTTTTGTCCCAAATTGAGAATCATTGAGTGTGTCCAGGCATTCATACTCAAGGTTTTTATGTAGTGAGAGTTGAGTACTACTTGTATAGAAAAAGTTTATGATTTTTTTAGACGCCAAGTTTTAGCCTTTTAGTGAAGTTATTAACAGCATCCTCATAAAGACACTATTCATAGTAACTGAGCAGTGTTTTAATGCTTTATTCATGTCAGTTATGTCTATCTTGATATAATTCTGCTGATACAGTATTGCTTAGCTGTTAAACTGAGTTAACTTTGTTTCTGCTTTTCTGTGTGATGCCTAAGACTAGCTATTTTTCAGATAGGTCTGGGCTTTTTTGCCCTGGCCAACTGGGGCTACGTATGCCCCCCACGTAGCTGGGATTACAGATGTAGGCCACCAAGTCTTGCCCTCCCTTTTTTTTTCTATGAAATTTTAAACCAAAGCTTTGATATCATAATGTTATTTCAAATATTACTATACAGTCTGTATAAAGTAATTACATTTTCAACCAGATCATAATGTGATTATGATTATCATACCAGTATTGACAGTGAGCTTCATCCCTTTCTCCCTTCTTTTTTTTTTAAATGTGTATTGCTGTGGTTATTGTTGTTGTCCTTGAGACAGGGTTTCACTAAGTGGACCAGTTGTTGCCTGAGATTCTCAAGTGCTAGATTATAGGTGTGTGTCACCATGCCTGGAAACAGTGATTTCTTAATGTCGTCAAACACCGAACTCACATTAAAAATAACTGGAGCCGAGTGCTGGTGGCTCACATCTGTACTCCTTGCTACTTAGGAGGCAGAGATCAGGAGGATCAAGATTTGAAGCTAGCCCCTGCAAATAGTTTCAGAGACCCTTTCTCGAATAAATCCATCACAAGAAAGGGCTGGCAGAGTGGTTCAAGCTGTAAGAGCGCATGCCTATCAAATGTGAGGCCCTGAGTTCAAGCCCCAGTGCAGCCAAAAAAAAAAAAAAAATCTGGGTTAGGGGTTGATTTGTTCAGAGCAGGGCCCATCAAGGATGGTTCTTAGCATTGGTTGCTATAGCCCTCTCCTAAATCTCTCAGTCTGTAGCATTCCCTTTCCCCAGACCTCAGTTCCATGACTTAATGAAGAAACTTAGCTACGTTCTGGAGAGTTGCATAACTTAAATTGCTCTGATTGTTTCCTTGTGTCATGGTAATTTGTCC